GTTTGGTGGAGCTCCCAGATTGATTCAGGTTTGGAAGCAGGACTGGCATCCACTTCCTAAATCACATGCCTCTGGAAACTCTATAAACAGAAGGTAGTTATAATACAGGGTTCAGGTCATTTGTTCGTAGAGTTGCTATAAGTTGTACTCAACGGCACTTAACAACAGCACCACCAACGAGCTGAGAGCAGAATTTACCTATTCATTGCAGCCTTTCCAGTAGAAGTCACCCAGTTATTCAGGACAGTCAATCTATTTAAAAATGACAGTAGTTTCCAGACTTTTGGATATCATTGAGTTAGTAAAATTGAAAAAAAAAATAGTGATTTAGTGTACATCATAAATCTTTTAAATTGAAGAATATAAACATTAAAAAAATACTACTGTTCTTACCACTTTATGAAAGGAATGGTTATTCCCTAAGAAAGGTAGTAAGAATATAATCTCTGGATATACAATTCTTTAAATGTAATTCCTTTAGCTTTATGAAAAGACTTACTGCATTCTTGGTATCTTTTTTTCCTGTTTCACTAAAGAGGCATATAAACTCTGGCATGAACCAGTACAGTACTGCAGTAAGCTCCTAGAAATTTCTGGTCTGTGGTTTATTTGGTTGAGTGTGCTGGCTGCCTCGCTATGTAACTGTTGAAGTAATTCTCAATATTTACCAAAGTAGTAAAAGTATTAAGTACTTAACTGTGTATATGGCATTGTGCCAAGGCAGATGGCAAACAGAGGGTTTATTTATTTGTATTTTTCTCATATAGCCCAGGAAAATTACCTATTTAGCAAATATGGAAGAGTTTAAAACAAAATAAGCCAGTTTAAAAAAGGAGAAGAAAAATTATTTTAAAATAAAATTAGTTTAAGGTCATAGAATGAATATACAAAGGTTGTTTATTGTTTGTTAAATTAAATGTATGGAAAATAATTGCTTTACTTTAAAAAAAGGCTCTCATTCTAAAGTAAGCATAGATGATAAGGTAGTAATTGCCAGCTATCTACCCAATATCTGTTCTCTTGCATGAGAACAGAACTTCAGTGCTGTTGGAATTGGTGTCCAGCTGAAAAATAGACACTTCCCATTCTGCCTTTCAAATGCCGGAATCGTGAAGATGTAGCTAGACTTTAAAAGGGACCTTGACTTAAGTGCCGTTTTCCCAGCACTTCCTTCTTCTCTGTCTTGGAAGGTGGGTGCTGCATGTGTCCTTAGTCACTTCATGACTGTGATGCAACTAAGAGAGAAGGGAAAAATTCTGAGGAGCCATGGTGTGCTATTTTTAGATGCTGCATGTGACAGGGCTGTCTCATTTTTATGAGAAAGATAAAGCATAAAATGTGCTGCTTTTCCTGTTAACTGCAGCTAAATAATTCCTTAATTCAGAGGAGGAGGATATATGTATATATTACGTGTGTGTGTGTGTATCTAAAATTCTATTCTATACTATTCTATATATTCTATTTATTCTATTCTATTCTATTCTATTCTATTCTATTCTATTCTATTCTATTCTATTCTATTCTATTCTATTCTATTCTATTCTATTCCATTATATATAGGATGAACAATCTCCCCTGTGTAATTTACTGCCTCTGAAAAACTGCCGAAATGTCAGCTATGGGCCGGTTCCAACTCTGTGATACACAACAACAACATATTTGAGATAGATGGTAAAGGTCGTAGCTTTGCATAATTACTTGAATAGTGTATCATAAATGAAGATATAAGATAGGGAAGAGCATAGATTGGCGACTGAGATGTGTACTGTGGCCCCATCATATTGTCAGAGACTCTGAGGACGGGGACAGAGACTAGGACTCACTCCATGGACCTGAGCTGTCCAAACCTAGAAATAGACAAGAACTCTTAAAGTCTATCCCAAAAATTCAAATCAATCCCATTTGGAAGTTCTGATGATATAATTCATAGCAAGCTGCACAATCAACCCCCGAACAGCTTGACTCTGGAGCTCTCGGAACAGCTCCATGGGAGGAGGGCCGGTCTTCTCTGGTTTTAATTTACAGCCTCAGAACCCCAGTGAAGGGTGGGAGCCAACTCACTGCCATTAAGTTTGACTTTTGTTTTTAGACTTAATTCCATTTATCTGAGAATGAATAGGTAAAAATCTACTAGATCTTTCCCCTTTCTGATCTCAAAACAAGCACAGTAGTATTGATCTTTCTACAAAGAAAACCTGATGATGTCCCTTCCTTCTTTTGCGTAAGGTCCTGCGCTGCCTCCAGAATAAACAAATACCTTAGCACGGATTAGAAGGCCCTTTGTGATCTGGCTCTGATCACCTGTCTAACCTGATGCCACACAGTTAAACCTCATCTGCCTTCCACTTCTTGGCCATTGTCTCCTATATACACATACACCCACATGCCCGAAGATTTTCCTGCCATATCAAACTCCCTTTAATCTGTTGACATGTATACAGTTTTCAAAGGAAGATTGATGGCCTTCAGCTCATGCTCAGAGTGTCCGTGGCTGAAACAAGATTAAGAATTGGAATTTGCAGAGTACATTCAGACTTTGATCTTGTCTTTACAATGTCCTTCACTTCTCTGCAACTCCACTTCAACTCTTTCTAAACACAAGTCTGATTATCTTCCTCCCGTCCGTGTCTTTCTGTTGCTCATAACATAAACATAAACTCCTTAACATCATTATTAAGACCTTTGCTTCTTCTCTTGCTACTCCTCCACCTCCAGCTTCTCGTGTTCACTTTCTCCAGTGACTTTCCATCACCTATGATAGTATTTCCTTCTGTCTTCCATTGAGTCATGCCTACACATCCTTCAAGTCAAAGCTAGAATATCATTTCCCACCCAGGATGGACAAGCCTTCCATCCCCTCCTGCACTAGGTTAAGCATCAGGCCCTTGGATCTGTGGGATTCCTGAACATTCCCTGCCTGACATCTCTCACACACCATAGGTGCTGTGTTAATTAAATGTGCTTGTTCTTTTATCTGTTTCCCCTCCTTGTAAAGAATGGAATCATATCTGTCGTCTTCATGTTTTATATACAGTTTTAAGTTCCATGTATTTTAATTATGTCTTGTTCAATCTATTCCATTTTGTTTTATACAGAAAACATTCGGAGTACATAATGTTCCATCATATGACTGTACCATATTAATCATCCACCAACTATTTTTAGATATTTACAATATTCTAAATAATATTACCCCATACGTCACCGCACACAGATCTTTTTCTAAAGCTCAAGCTATTTCCTTAGGATAATTTCCTAATAAGAAGATTGCTAAGTCAATGTGTATAAAAGGTTAAAAGGCTTTTGCTAGTACTTGACTCTTGGGGAGTCCATACATAATGCAATAAAGTCTATAGTCCATCTCAGATGCGACTGTTGTGATTTGTTGGGTTGTCATTGGCTGATGTTTTTGGCCGTAGATTGCCAGGCTTTTCTTCCTAGCCAGTTTAATCTGGATACTCTGCTGGAGCCAATCCACCATGGAAGACCCTACTAGTATCTGAAATATCAGTATAGCACAGCTTCTAATGTCCTAATAACATAAAAACCCTAACAGTACGACCAACTATAAAAAAGAGTTAGGGCAACATAGTGATGGTCATATCTGACCTTTACCATCTTCACAAAAGGGAACAACCTCTGTACACAGCATCAGTAACACAGAACCAACTCCCATGAAGCCAGACATGTCCCTCACGCTCCGGTACCTCTTTGTACTCATCTCAACACCAATCTCACAGCTTTGCTGCATTCAAAATCTGATGTAATAGCTCACAGACCTCACAGAACCATATTGGGGAAATTAAAAGGTTGTAATCTGGATTAATAACAGAACACAGTTACACAACTCCTGAAATGTGCATGCAAGCACTTCAGCCTTGAGCTTTGTAGCTTAAGGCCACTTTCCCCAAGTTCTCAGTGCTGCCATTGTTGTTTTTCCATATCCAGTTGTCCAGCGAAGTTCTTAGTCCTGCCAATATTGGCTCGCCGCTCAATTTCCCATCTCGTGGCAGTTCTCCAGTTTGGCCATAGGGGTTGCTGTTGTAGGTGTTGCTGTGGTAGGTGAAGCTGGAGCAAGAAGGAATCCTACATTCTTTTGCTGCTTTTTTCAGCGATACCAGAAGATATGTCTCTGTGACCAGAGCTGCTCTATATATTAGCAAGATAAACCAATCGTCTTGTGGATAGACTAACATGCCCACTCTCACTAAGTCAGGTAATGGCTAGGAAAATTCATAGTGAAAGATCAACTCCAGACACTTCCAATTACCTCTGATCACAGTGACCGTGTACACAACAGACCCCAAGCCTTCCCGGTCCTCCCGTGTCCGCACGGTTGTTGATCTGCTAGAGTCCATTTTTGCAGCCACTACATTAGACCATGTCATTGAGGGTCTTCATCTTTTTCACTGACCTTATATTACTCGAAGCATGATGCCCTTCTCCAGGGGCTGGTACCACCTGTTACCATGCCCAAAATATGTGAGAGAAAGTTTCCCCATCCTTGCCTCTGAGGAGCCCTCTGATTGCACTTCCTTCAAGGTAGATGATTTATTTGTTCACAGAACATCCAGTAGTCTTTGCAAATGCCCTAACTCAAACACACCAGTCCTTCAGTGTTCCTTATTCATTGCCCAGCTTTCATATGCATGAGACAATTAAAAGTACAATGACTTGGGTCAAAATGATTTAGTCCTGGAAGTGACAGCTTTTCTTCTTAACACTATAAATAGGTCTGTTGCAATAGATTTTGTTCACCACTGTAACAGTATGTAATTGTTATATAATTAAAATCCTTTAGAAAGTGACATAAAATGTTGTAACTCTTCAAAGTATGTGGCTCAACAGACTACAAACAAAATTTATTTTGTAGTCTTGCTACTCTTTTTCAGTTCAGAAGAAGATATCAAAAGTAGTTTATGTTTTGAAAATGTCTTTCAAGGAAAACAATGTGAGAGTAAAATGACTGTATTGTTGTCTGTTTCATTTTGTCATTTTAGGCAAGGCATTGACATTTCTTCTGCTACAGCCCCCGAGTCCCAAGCTTCCTCCACACAGCACCATCCGGAGAACAGCTATTGATCTCATTGGTCGGGGCTTCACCGTGTGGGAGCCTTACATGGACGTGTCTGCCGTTCTGATGGGCCTTCTCGAACTTTGTGCTGACGCAGAGAAGCAACTTGCCAAGTAGGTTCTCGTCTCCCGTTCGGTTAGCTCGTGACTGCTGTTTTGGAGGGAAAGGGCAGGAGAGCTTTGATAAATCATGCATATTGAAGAGATAAAAATAGCAAAAAAAATTTCACCAGGTGAAATTTCAGAAATGGACCATTAAAAGGAATTCTTTTTCTGCCATTTTTCACCCTATTAGAATTTTATATTGAGCCAGTAAATAGTACTTTGTGACAGAATTGTCTAATAATATGCCTAATTATATAATGATTAATTACATACCTAATACTATTAGATAGTAATAATATACACACTAGTTATAACAGTGGACTCAAACATACCAACAATCATGTTTTCGTCTATTGTACTCAGGCCACTTTGAGTCGGAGCTGACTCAACAATTAGCGATGAATATATGGTTTGTAAAGAAACTGATATGCATATTTGATGCTTGGAACAAAAAATGTTTTACCAAAGATCTGTCCAGATAGTTTGGGCAACACCTCCTTCATAATCTTAATCATCTTTAAACCCAATTTTTTAAAAAAAGTTCATTGGAACACAGTGAAATGCACCCATTTGAAGTGTCAAGTTGGATGGGTTCCTGCAAATGTATAACTGTAATCACACAACACCTGAGATAGAAGGCATTCTCGTGCCTTCAGAATTTCCCTCCTGCTCCATCACTGGGCCCAGGAGCCCCTGTCTAGGAACTGCTAGATAATACAGTTGTATGTTTAATATTGCCGCAAATGACAGCTATAGACTTCCTGTACATGTTTCTAAGCACGGTTGCCAGTTTAAAAGTGTGTGGAAACGCGTTAAGGATTAGGTGGAAACGGGAGCTGTTGTGTTTGTCGTGGTAGTGAGAGCCAGCTGGGCTTTGTGCAAAACCGCCCTGAACATAGTTCCAGTGTTTTCTATGTCTCACTTCTCAGCTGCAACTGCCAGACAGTCCTCCCAGAAGTCCCCATCGCCATCCTGGTTTATCAAGAGAAACCACAACATTGTCTCATTGTCCACATTTTAATTTGTTGATAACATATTTTTAAATCTGACCTATGCCCAGTTTCCACAGTCTTCACTCTTAGCTCTATTCCCTAGGAGAAGTGACGGTGTATTGTAGGTTTTTTACTCCCCATGCTTAGTATTAAATATTTGGTGTTTAAAGAAATGTCTGTGAAGTTCGTATCGGTGAACATAACGATCCCTTCATGTTTTCTCTGCATTAAGTGTCCGGAGACACAAACACTGTAGTTTTTCTGGAGGTAGTTTAAATCTGGCTATTACATCCTTTTCAGTCACCAAGATTAGTATGACTGCGTACACCGCTCTGAATAAGTGAATGTATCAGCGCGTAGCCTTGAGGAGTCCAGTGTAATTTTCATCGTGATAAATTGCATAATAAGCAAGAAAACGTTTCCTTATTAATCTATAACGAGATTTAGATTGAAAATGGTCTGTTACATCCATGACGTGCTCGGTGCCGGCTGCAAGAGGAGGGAGTTGGTGCAGGAAGGTGCAGCGATGGAAGCCGGGGTTAAGTGTGTGTCTTAGCCTGCAGGTGCCCTGCTGATGCGCCCCTCCTGGTGCCTGATTGACTGGGGACACAATAACAGTGCCCAGCTGCCTCGCTTCCCTCTGTGATGTTAAGCTTGCTTCGTGAAGAAGCTTTCATGTGGTGCTTGCTTTTTTAAAATTTTTAGTTCTCATTTATTGACAGAGAAAGAGGAAAATGCCCCATAGTCCACAATTCCTTCTTTACTCCCATTCTTTTAACTTGGTGGCTGGTGTGCACAGAAGGGTAGGAGTAGGGACAGCTCGCTCAGGATGCAGCTGGAGGCCGTGGCTCCTGGCAGGTGCCTCTGTCCCTCCTTCAGGGAGACAGGTCCCCAGGCTCCCACTGCAAAGGGGTCTCCCAACACCTTGGGTATCAAGATGAATGGGGTATTTCTCCACAGTTAACCAGGTCTTGATTTTAGACAAAGACTTGGCAATTTTCACACCTTTGGCATCACTCTTGTCAATTCCATCGAGTCAGAACCAACTCATATCTGACCTTCCAGCGAGTTCTTCTGAGGCTGTAAATTGCATGGGACAAGTTTGGCCATCTTCCATGAAACAGCTGGTGGTTTCAAACTGTTTGCCTTTGGATATAGAGACCTGCTGGGACAGTGACTGAGACAGTCAGCTGTTCACTGAAAGGTCGGCGGTTTGAACTCACCTGGGACTCCATGAAGGAATGGTGCAGGAGAAGCTTTCCAGCCTTGGGAACCCCGGAGGGCAGTTCGACTCCATCCTGCCCCTTCGGGTTACTGTGAGTGGGAGTGAACTAGGAACCGTGCATTTGGTCTTGGTTTAACTGTGTAAGGCATAATGTTAGACATGTATGATGTGCCCAGAGTTAAATGAAACAAAAGTTGACTTCCAAAGGACTCCTGAGAGGTATGCTTGGCTACTTCCCCAAAAGGTTGGAGATTTGAGCCCTGAGGGACCTCAGAAGAAAGGTTCAGATTCCCAACGCAGTCATTGAAAACCCTGTGGAGGGCCCCTGACACCACATGGGGTCATCATGAGTTCAGGAGCCATGCACGTGACAACTGGCCCTGCCCTTAAGCCACTTGCAGTGCTCCACCAAGAGTGAGGTCTCCAGAGAAGGGGAATAAAAGGCGGCCATACTGGGGGCTTGGCGAGAAGCATCTTAGCTGCTGATCAGAAGGTCTACCAGCCAGAGCGTCCCTGGAATCTTTCATTTGAAAGAGCAGAGGGAGGGAGGGACAAGCCGCCCAGGAGATGCTGTACCTGCAAACGTTCAATGAAAGTTAATAGTGGTCTTGCCTCATTTTACTTATTAAATTCCTGCAGAACCTCACCAATGGCGTGCTAACTTCCAGAACTCTGAAGAATCAGCTCAAAGACGTAGATGCTTTTACTTCTTACTTTATAAGAAAGTTGTGACAGTGAAGTTTTTCTATCTCTGACACCTCTCACGAACCTTGACATATTCAGGTTTCTGGAGGTTGGGGAGGCAGCCATCACCGAGCACGTCTCACCCACGTGCTCCACTCCTCAGAGATGTTCTCGTCTAGTTATTGAGAGCACGAGAAAGGGCCCTGATTATCCTTATTTCTCCAGTGAGATGTGTGCCTCTGAGAAAGCCGATGTCACTGGCACAGAGTAAGTAACACTGCAGTCACTGAAAAAGAAGGGATGTAGACCCAGCCTGGCCGCGTCCAGGAGCCGAGCTGCCACCCCCAGGCTCACAAGCGGATTACTCAAGTGCACACAAAGATCACAGAACCACTACAAGATGTTAAAAGAGAGTCAGTGCTTCAGAACTTCCTGGGACGTGTTCATAGTCTGGTTTTCAGCTTGCAGTGGGCATCCGTATATCAGAGATGGTGAGAATGGCACATGAACGACCAGGTTCAGATCTGTTGTTCATAGGGACGATAGAGTCACAGGTCAACTTGTTGGCACCTAACAAAAAATCACCACAATTTTCAGTAAATATTGTATTCATTGTAGATCTTAAAAAGCTTAGGTATCAGTAAGCTCTGAGTGCATAGATCATGTTGTATGTGTTTATTCTTATTTCTTCATAATACCTGGGAAGTAATTTGCATGTGGTAAACGTTACACAGAATATTAAAGACCAGAGTCTCCTTCAGATGTTTCACTTAGTGCCCTCAACATCCAATTCGGTACTATATCGGGATATCCAAGAGCATCTCCAAGCTCACACTGGTTCCGTGATAGCCAGGATCATCACTCAGGGGTCTTGAGTCCCTTTTTCCCAGGAGGAGCCCTGTTACTTGTTGTAACAAGTAGTGTTACTTGTTGGACCGGCTCACCACGGGTGATAGCTTGAATCCAAGACTTGCCGTCTCAGACATGCGATGAAGGACCATCAGGAGTCAGAATTGATTCCGAGATGGTGGATATGGGTTAGCGTTGTGTTTTTCTTTTGCTTTCTTTTGTTTTACTATCATGGGATTACTTGACACTGATTTATAGGTAGAATCTTGCATGAGGATAATTGTAAATGAATTCTTTTGAGCTGAGTTATTAAGGGCTGCTGATTCATAGGAGGCATTCAGTGGACAACTGAGGCTATACTTCGTTGAAGTAATAAATTGGATTATTCTTTTTTTTTTTTTAAAACAATAACAAAATTTGTTCTTCTGTTGGAAAAACCTCCTTGCTTTTTCTCAATGCTCTTTTTTTTTCTTTCTATAATTATATTTTATTAATTTTCATAAACATTTACAGAGATTTTGGGCTTCCACTCATTCATTGTT